AGGGTTTGTGAGTGTAAAAAAAAAAAAAATTTAAAAAAAACACAGAGAACAATAATTGAAAAAAAAAAAATCGGTAAATTTTGCAAGTGCATGCGCTAAACATAAAGGTGTTGAAATGTGAAAAAAAAAAAACATTTTTCGGTTTCAAGCTGTGATAGTCAAAGAGTTACTAATGCTGTAACAAAACATTATTGCTATTTTTTATGGACGGGGACTGCGAGAAAGTATACGCACTGCAGAATTCTCAGTCGGGGTTGTGTAAATAAATAGGGTAAAAAAAAATAATAATAATAATGTAATTTCTCTTTTTATTTCGCCTTTTACCTCCAGCTGAGGAGTTCTTGTGCACGGCAGTGGTGACGACGACGCGCATGTTTTAATCGAATTGTTATACCGTTTCCGATGGGCGTGTGACTACGTTACGGCTTTTGGAGGGAAACGGGGTATTTTTTATACGTTTTTTTTTTCCATTGCAATTTGTTCACCGGTATTTCGATTGTAAAAAGCAATCGAAACATTATTACTATTGTAATAACGGCAGTACAGTAAAAAGAATAATAATAATAATAAACAAACGCCGGCCACTTTTGACGGACACGACTAATAACCGTAAGTGACCAGCGGCCGAATAGGCGTGAACGAGTTAACACAATAATATAACAGCCGATAATTAGGGGAAACGTCTAACGTATGGATCCGCGATACGAATGCATGTAGGTACAATTGTTACATACGTAACTAATTATTCTCTCGTCAATAACAGCACGTCATTACGATTTTTTTGATTTTTTTTTTTTTAGCTCCTTTTCACTTTTTAGCGATAACATTTCTATCCGATTCAGATAAGATATTAAATGAAACGTTTAACGCGAAGACATGGTTAAAACGCTTTTAGTTATAAAACGTTTAATTATTTAATACTAATTACGCTGTTATCCTGTAATCTGATCGTCCATCTAATCCTACACAATTTCCCACAACACTTAATATAATAACGTGTTTTAGATATTTTCAGACAAAACTATGCGTGTGAAGTAGACGTAAAACACTCGTGTGAATTAAATTTAAATGAGATCGAAAAAAGGAATTAGTGACCTATTACTAATATAGTACCATGCAATTCTAACTAAACTGCCAATTCGAATGTTATGTGAATCAACAAATATATAAAAATGTAATTGAGTAAATTGTATCTAATTGGTGTCTCATCCTTAATCAACCGCATTATGTCAATACTTACTCTTAGTATAAAATATAACCGTACTCACCATGCTTTTATAAGTATGGATTTCAAATTAAAATATTTAAAAAAAATGCTAAAAAAAAAACTTATATCACTTTTTTTATTACAACAATTTTTATGATAGACCGAAAATACGTAAACTCGTATGATCCCAAAAGCTGTCCTAATACGTTCTAGTACTTATGTTTATTATTTAGAACTTTTTAGTTGTTTTTATTTTCACCCGCGCACGATATCGTATATTGTTACCACATCTCATATAAATCAAACATTAATATTATTTCATTTTATTGTATTTATTACGCTAAGTTATAGGTACAGGAATCTTAGTTAAATAACTGAAATGTATTCTAAATGACTTAGCGTTTATATAGTCTTTACTGCACTAATGTATGACATAAGAACGTGTATTGCGAACAGGACGTTTATACACTGATAATAAATGTGTACACATTTTATGCGCTCATTATGAAGTGAAACCGTTTGGTTTTTTCACTCCATGTGAACGAGTTTTGTACACAATACACACTTAAAGATTGCGCGTGATTGTTCAGTATAGTTATTATTTTGCGGCAGGTCCTAGACCCTTTCAAATTTACAAAAAACAAACTTTGAATAATGAAAACTTAATTCTAAGGGTGAATTATTATACGCAGTAACGACCATTAATGAACCAACATCCCGGTTCATGACTTATTCTTACATCCGAGTTCAAATCTACATCGAAATAAGATGGAAGTTTTACCAATGACGATTATTAACCAAAAGTTGAAGTTATTTTTCAAAGAACGTCGAAACGGCGGAGTCAGATAAATTACCTGGTATACATATTAACAATTTTATTTTTGGTTCATTAAGTTTTATCTGATATGGATGGTTAGAGTGTTAGAATTTGAATAAATTCAAAATGTTCAGTCAGGATACGCCAGTCGTCCGGCAAAGTATTTCGTTGTCAGACTGGGGTGAACTTCGACACAGTTATTAAGAACATTTATAATAATGGAGTCAGTTATTTTTTTTTTTTATAAATATGATTTTCAAAAAGCATACAAATACAGAGTTAAATCATTAAATGGTATAACAATACATTTTCTACGAAAAAGAACATCGCACCACATGATACGACCTATTTACACAACTAAATAGCTATGTTCACAGGCACCGAGGTTAATGGTGAAAAATTATTTCAAATAGTACGTCTCAATCTCGTGATTTATAACGTATTTATTTCCGTGTTTTATTATCACCAAAACAGTCGTTTTGATAAAACTAAATAATTGGTTATGCGACGGATTATATACTTCGAAATTACACGGTGCAACGTTATTATTATAAGGTACTGAAATGACAACACTGAATTGCAGTAGTGTTAATTTTTAAACAATTCATAAGTCTGTAATAATCGCTTTTTCCCTTGTGCTAAGCAGTATATGGAGTCATCGTCGTATAATATTGAATACGCGTAATACGCACACCACTTACGTATAGGGTAGATAACCTATTATCAAACAATACAAGTACAATGTACATAATTCTATAGAAAAAGTGAAAACGTTTCTAATGCATTTCTTTATTTATTTATTATCATACGAACGCGTGCATTTTTACGGTGTCCAGTAGATCTGCAAAAAAAAAAAAAAAAAAAAGAAAGGAAAAAAAACAAACAAAAAAGTGGCTTTACTCGTACGCGTATATAATGTACAATGCCAGGTCCACAACAATAGAAGTCCATACACACTTAAGCCGGAGTACGCGCGAGGGTAAAAAAAAAAAAGAGAATATCGTCTATAGGTACGCGCGTAAACATCTGAAATCGAAACCCGGAATACACATATTGTGTTGTCAGCTCTTCAGTGAATTTGTCAGGCCTGTCAAAAACACGTACCTATACCATAAAAGAAACATAATATGTAGGTACCGCCTTTTTCACGGGTAATTTTTCAATTACATCCGACGATGTATATAAATCGTAATAGAGACGTACGCACCCGAGGGTGTATAATGCACGTTGTAATTATATTGTTGAGCAATCGGGAGGCCATCGATAGTTACGCGCAACGATACTGTATATTTTGTATGATATTATCTATACGGCTATAGATAGTGCCCCGGTTACGCGGTGTATTTTCTGTTGGGTTTTTTTTTCTTCTGCTTTCGTAAGGGATGTAAAATACGACATGCTTACACTGTGCGTTTTTAACCATTTAACCAGGTACATAAATATATATCATGTACGTTTATTTTTATAACTCTTAATATTCATACACAACCCAAAACATAACATGTGATAATTATTTTAGATCAAGTCGTGTACCGTGTAGCTGTATAGCGCTTTCGACGCGAGTCTAATCTGCCTACGATGTAAAAACTGTGTCGGTAAATATGATTGTGATTTTGTTTTTCAAACGCTTAGAACTTAAGCGATGAATAATATTATATGTTTACATGGGTAATTCTATGTCGAATCAACGTATAATAGAATGCGTATATATGATCGTGTGTTTCGAATACAGTGCGTACATTGATTTTTGTTACCAATCCGTTTTCGTTGTTCCGCGCCCGAATTGTAGTCCGATAAAATATCACGCGTGTATTGATAACAACAACATTATTCCAAAACACCTTATTAAAAACCTTATATAAAAATATACCCCGGCATAACAGTTCTCTTCCTCGCGTTATAATATGATATTTAGCCTCGTTGAAATCGTACTTATAGTACCTAACTGTATAGGCGTGTAACACGCGTATTGTTTACTTCGCATTGTGTTCACGTTGACTGTTTCCATTTTTAGTTTTGTCGCGCAAGTATTCCCAAAAGATTCCGGAGTGTTGACAAGGGGGAAAATGCGGATCAATACGCTTTCAAAAAAGAGGGTTGCATGGAAGAGGGGAGGGATTACAATTGACGCCATTTTGTTTTCACAGTTCCAATGGCACTGTTGTCATCGAATAGCGAATAGCATTTCGAAGAGTACAGGAAGTGTTTTCATTAATTCATAACATTAGTTATATTTTAAACAAGATATACTAACATTATTATTATTATTTACACATAATATTATAAGAGTATACGAGAAATACATTTGAAAAATGCACGCGAATTCATATCGTAGAGCATTTCGAAGAAAGTTTTGTTTGATTGTTCGTCTCGATTATCGTAATGGATTATAATTAATTCTGAAAACGTGTAATTTCGTAGGTATTCTACGATATGATGTACGCATTAGATTATAATTTTTTAATAAAATGTTGACCGCAAAAGAATACTGATTGCTTTTTACGATTTCCGGAAAAAATAAAAATTGTCGACATTAACGTAATAATTATAGTGCAATCCAATAATCGCTGTATTGTATACATGTACTTAAATAAAACAATAGGAAAAGAACTATAAGAATCGCGTATACCTAAGATATTATTTTCATATCGACTAATAAATATATTTATTTATCATGTACAAATGATTTTTAATTAAATTCAGTCTGTTATGTGTTATTTTAACGGTGAATATATTTATTTACTCATCTGTAAGTTACAACGCACGCGCTACTTTATAAAATAAAACAATTTTGAATCAAATACTAAATGTGTTGTAATACTATTGTAAATTCCATACCATATAGATACCAGTTTATAATACTATTGTGCAATATACTGATCAATCTGAATAAATATTACCTCTTAAGTCATAATAAAATTCCTTACAAATAAAATTACATAGTTAAAGAATAAAAAAAATAAAAAAAACTCTTACCATTCCTTGTTCTTTTTCAAAATCGCAATATCCAATTGTTGGTTGGTGATATGATGCCATCGATGGCATATTTGGCGTGAACATGAGTTGCAAATTCGTTCCTGTTGTGGCAAAAGCCTAAAAACATAAATAATAAAATGAAATAAACGCAAATGGTCCGACGACGAATCGAATGAATATCTATTAAACATACAATGTCTACATGTCCTTCGCGACACCCCATTTGAAAACGGTTTTGTCGTTCTTCGTGTGGTCTGTCCCTATAGCTTGTATATCTAACCTAAAAAAATAAAAGTTGAAATGAAATAAAAGTGTCCGATTATTTGAAATAAATTGTTTAATAGTAAAACTATAGGATATTATTATTTATAATTTTTATACACAAGAGCGCATATTAAAGGTTTATTTAACGTTAAATCTTAATATATTGAAATTTAATAAATAAACATAAAAAATATGCATATATTTATATTGACTATGTAAAACTAATATAAATGTTTATTGTTATAAGTATAGATTAACAAAAATATTACATTAATGTTTTATTTAAAAATCTTTATTTTCATAATTCAATAATAGATCTTTCCGTATTTTTTTTTATGTCTTTTTCGTACTATTCACTGAATATAAATGGATATTTAATTTGAATTATCACTAAGATATATAAAAAGAAACATTAATTGTAAACCTGCTTGGGTACACGAAACACGAAATTGCACAACAACTCGGACAACAAATGAGAAATAAAACACTCTATTGAACTTTGGATCAAATCAAAAATAAGAAGTAATTAGTCAACCGATTAAGATTTAGTGGTAGGTACCGTATTCTCTCATACGATCACCTTATGGAAAATACAGAACTACCTCTATGCCCGACATGCATTACACGGAAATTCCACCAAGCAAATGGTCATCTACTATACCTACAAAGTTTTCACGGAAGCCAGAAAGGAATTCAACGTCCCGGAAAATTAATATGAAATGTTCGGATCATTATTGGATATCGTAAACATGATTTTCTGCTTTAAAATAAAACGGAAACATATATAACCTTAAGTACAATGTAATTTTTTTCTGGACAAGCTATTAACACTACTGTAGTTGATGCCATAAATTAATAATAAAACTATAATAAACGCACCCTTGACTCAGAACGAAATTAATATAGTAAAGTCCGAATAAATAACAGGACGGCCGGATTGTACGTGTATACGACGATTACAAACAGTTTAGGTCATATTTGAAATGTATCAAAAACTCAAAGGTCGATTTGATCAGACTCAAGTCACGTAGTCATGGTACGTACAAATGCACACGTAATGAATTACAAACATTTTAATGTTTTATCAACGTTACGATAAAAGCTAAATAGGTTTTAGGAAAAGCATATAGCATTTATGCGTGGGCGCGCAGCAAATCGATGTTCAGCAGAGCAGGTACACGGGGACTGTTGACTAGGAAGATCATTGTACGTAAAAAATACATTCGGATCGGTAGCACACGTGCGAAGTTTTTACAGATATATATATAATAACCTAACCTTTTTGCATATTTCGACGTTTTTTCATTTTTAGAGCATTTTTAGTATTATTGGGTCATTTTGTTGGTTTTTAATGCATATTTGTTCGATATACTAAACAAATTTAGCTTATTCAAAATAAAATCAAAAGACAAATTATTTTCTTGATATTTAAGTAGGATTCATCGGATTTTTCCATACATATTGTCAATCTTTATTTTATGATTCAGTTTTTATCTTTTCTTTATTATTAACTATGGAACGTCACCAGTATTCGGTAAAATAACAAATAATCAGCTTGTTCGTATTGTTCGTATTACCCTGCAGAAGTTGCTCGGATTACGAGTGAATGTGATTTTAATGTATTAAATAGAATGTTAAATAATACCCAAAATAAAATAAATTATGTCATTTATAAGGTCATTTTTGTGGTAAAATGCATTTTTTAAAGACATTTTTTGGCTATTTTTTAGAGCATATTTGTATCATTTTAAGTGCATTTAAATCCGGGCCCTAATTATAATTTTGTAACACGAACAGTACATTTATGGTATTTTTTATTTTTTTACCATTCGGTCTTTGTGCAGTTTTACGTTGTACGAGCATTTGAAAACATTGTTTTGCATTAAATCGAAATATTAAACAATATTAAATAAAATATATATACAGTGCATAATATCAGGTACGTACATATAATATATTTTATTAATATTAACGTTGCATTAAAAAATCGTCAACTTGTGTACAATATTTAATATTACACCGCATTGTTCCAAAAGAACGCGAATAATAATGTTTTTTTTTCCGTACATACACACATTGTTATTCTTACATTTTTTTCATAAGAATCGCGAATTAGGTATAGTTAAACGGTTGTCGGTCCGTTGTACGTTTCGCGGATCACATAGACTGGAACCGAAATACAACGTGTAAGGGTAACGGAAACCGATACGAGCAAGTTAATTAAATAGTTAATTATTGATAATTATATCAACTTATACAGTTATATAGTGATATTATTAAAAGTTAAATATTGTTCGAATCGTACCGTGAGGTTTACTACTACTACAGCTACTACGGATTACTATGGTACTCACGTCGCTCTCGCGGCTCAGGCGCTTGAACAGGTCGTCCGTCTGGAACTTGTTCTTCTGGTCGGGCACCACACGCGGCATCTTGAACGCCAGTCTGGGCTTGGGCATCTGGTGCTCGAACAAGCCCTGGCACATGGGATTGAACGATGGCGGCATCATATTGCCCGGGGCCATCGACCCGAAATCGTTCATCATCAGCATAATCGTTACGGGGTACCGGTGCGCGCGCGCAGAGACCAAATTGCGATCCGCGGTCCGGACAAGCTTCCTACCGGTCGGTTTGGATGGTGCGAAGGGTTTCGATCCGAGTGGACGATTTCGACAGGGATCCCGACGACTGGATCGGTTCGGGAAAAGCTTTGCGGTTGGAGCGGGAACAGCGCGCGGCGGGACAGCGAGCAGAACGTGCGTGGCGGCGCGTCGTCGGTAACCGTATGCGACGGTCGCGTTCGACGAGAACGGTCGCGCGCCGCCCGCGACCGTACGTCGCTCGCCGACCAATCGCGTGCCCCGAAGGCGTGTCCGCGCTCCCTCCGCCCGCCCCCGCGCTCGCTCCCGTCCCTTCGGGTTGCGGCGGCGCACGCACGCGCACTCGAACGTGACGATGTTGACGTCGATGTTCACCCGCGGACACGTACGTTGTTCTCCCGGGAACGTTTTGCGCGTCTTCTACGGAAACCGCGATGTCTTGCCCGTCCTGCGCATGGTACGTATAAACGTGGAATATTATTTACGTGTTCGCGTCATATACAGTCGGCGATCGAATTGAAGGGAGGAACGGGTAAAGTGAAAGTTCTAAAGTACCCCCCTTCCCACACACATCAATGGCACATGGTCCTAAGGCTTTTCGGGGTCAAACCGGAACTCCCTTTTCGTCCGAGTTCGTCGCGACTCACGTGTCCCGTACACCTCGATTTCAGCACATCCCGATCGCACGTCGTACGTGAGTAATTCCTTTTTCATCGGATCAGTTCTAAACACTTAAGAGGTTACCACAAAACAAGCGTCAGACAATCATCAGCACCGAGGTTATCATCATAACCTCCGAGATTCAAACGAATTCAGAAGAAAAGTATTGCTTATAACACAATTTTTAAGTCTGATGTCGTAAACATTTGTCGGAGTTATTTTTACAACCCATTGTTGATCTATCTGATGCTATAAAATGAATTATTATCAAAATCGTTAACCGTTACACATTTTTTCGGTCGTTGTATAGTCTCGTGTGCGAAACACGGTGTTTAGTCGGTCGAACAAATCGAATTGCTATCAAACAGTTTGGAATACGTGTGCGGAGCTGATTTATTTCCCGTTCCCCATGTGTTCGGGCAGCCAGGACGTATTTTTAGTAATTTTCACTGGATGGCATTTTAATAAAATTGTCTATCATCGTAGTTCATAAATGTGGTGTTCTTCTGCAGAGGAACATACAGGGAAAATTAACTCCTGTATGGTCGTCATGAGAATGCGTTGGTTAGTGGCACGATCACCTACCGCTGGGTAGCATTCAATTATCACTGAGAGGGGGAGGGGCATTAGTGCCACGTAATTTGTATGTTAAAATATGCTCTGGTGTCCACGCCCGCAGGAGCACAAAACGGTATACTGACACGTATTTTTACCGGTAAAAAAAAATGCCAAACTTACCCGAGGTAGTGGCGAGAGTACATGCAAACACACGTTACTGCCGTACTCGACCGATACGTGGAGATTCCTATAGGTATACGTAGCTCCGTGATACCGTAGGCGATTCGGATTTGAGCGATATTACATTCAGGGGCACCATTTCAGTTTTTTTTTAAGGGGGTGCAAGCAATTAAAGAGGTCAATTTTTTCCCACCAACAGGCCAACATTCATGATTAGCAGTGATTACTGATCAGCCACGGTGCATGCGCAACATTAAAGATTAGAAAACTGAAGGCCATGTATCAGTGATGCCTAGGCCAATAATTGAAGATGAAAAAAATTCAGGGTGTACACTCGCACATCCTGCTCCCCTCCAAATGGCGCCCCTGATTACATTCATTGATATTTACAAAGGCTCAGAATTCTGCAACGTCAGTTAATCGCATTGTCGATCACTGTTGACGAAATAGCAATCTGCAGAATAGCTGCTAGTACAGGAAAGCTATACGCGCGTTCGTTTTATGAATGAGCAGCGAATCGAAATTTTCATACCGCGTAATCTTGCATGTTTATGGGGATTTAAGTTTTGATGTACCTACTGTTTTTGCGGTTTGTTTTTTTGCGTTACGTTTGATTTATCGAACGTTCTTCATATATCTCGTAGTTTACAATTAAACTGTAGAGCTTATAAATATAACTTTTTTGATTTGTAAACAAAAGAAAAAAATGTCTTGTTTTATTTTTTGCTATTTTTTCATAATTTTAGGGCGTGTTTCAGCACTTATTTTAAATCATAAAATATCGAATGGTTCAGCACCTTTTTATATGCTGAAATCCGAGCCCGGATAAAATGATTAATATATACTAGGTATATAATATATATCGCTGGGTGATATATTAGTATATACATTATTATTGTATTACACAGTGTTCTATGAACAAAATTAACATAAGTTAAATATAAATTGTAAATTATCTAGTAATATATACTTATATATATATACGTTTTTTACATTTATTTTATTCTGTTAACATATATTTACAATCTGTTGTTCAAAACAATAAGAAAGCAGTTTTCAAGTTAATACGTTTTCGCGACACGAACAGTTGGTGAAGAAAATCTTTCACTAACAACACCTCGTAACATACATACGTATTTATAATCAATTTCCTAGTAACAGTCAGTCTATTAGCTATACGGAACGCTGAGAATTATGAACGGATTAGAGTACCACCCACGTTTTTTTGCCACTTTAAACCCTGCGCGCACGTATGGTATACGGCACATACTGCGTTATTTCGATAAACTCATCGTTTAGTAAGTGAGTGTAAATTTTCAAACGCTTTGAGTTCGGATCGATGAAACGCGTCGTCGTGCTCGGAACCTTTACGTGTCGGTGCACATGTACCTACTGCATAAAATATTTTGTGCTAACTAGACTGCAATATTTCGAAGGGTTCCTTCGTATTTTCTACGTCACGTTTGGCGTCTCGGCTGTCGTTTTACCTGCAGCAGTACCGTCGAATAACCAGGGCCGCATTTAGGAGGGGGCACTGGCTTCAACTGCCTCGGGCGCCAGTTTTTTGGGGACACCAAAATGTTGTGGTCGGAAATTTGCTCACTTTTGAATTATGGAACATTTAAAATTATTTTGAAATTATTATTTTTTTTTGTTTTTAATAACAGTATCATAAATTAATGTTAATGAATTTAATTTATTAATATATATTATTAATGTATTTATAGCAATCTAGCTATCAGCATTGATTTTAGAATATCTAAAAGGTTCATGAAGATATATCTCCTATAATTTCCGTGGTCAGGCCCCTTAAAGGGGCGCCAATTTTTTTTTTTTTTTTGCGCCGGGACGCAAAATGTCTAAATACGGCACTGCGAATAACTACGTTATAACGTTCAACCAGTGCCGGATTAAACGTTTGTGTGCCTCCAGACGATTACAGTTTTGAGCCCTACAAAATTATTTTTACATACATCTTTAACATTAATATCCAATAATTAAAATAAACAGCTTTAATAATAACTAATTATTATTAACAAATAAAATAGTGTTTGTTAAATTTTTTATTCGCAAGAAAAATTAATTAATTACTATATTATTTCTATTTTTTTCAAAATTATTTTATTATTATTACTGCACATATCACCTACAACTTAATATATATTATGTTTCGGAATGACTTTTGTCCCGTAAATTCTTAAATAAAATACAGTTATTATTAAATAAAAAAAAAAATATATATAGTTTTCCGTTTTCACGGTGCCCCTTAAATGAGTGAGGACCTAAGGCGGGCGCTTACTACTCCTAATGGGTAATCCGGCACTGCTTAACATAACGACTAGTGCACGGAAAACGTTGTGCTGAATTTACGCCCGTACACAACCTATTTACCGAAACGAACCGTCGTTCGTCAACATACAGTTAGTACCGAAGTTCTAAAATGTTAAAACATCAGATATTAGTGTACACTGGTAATAATACACTTAGTACATACACATGAACACAACCCATAATAGTGGGGCTATTATCCCCCTTAGCCCCCCTTCCTTGGTCACGCCACTGCTTAATATTGATTTTTTTTTTTGTTTATGTATTCTATTCGTTGTTGTCGTTCAAACATCATATATCTAATAAACGGTGTTCGTGTCTTACCTGAGGTTTGGAGTATTTTTAAAAAAACAATGGTCGATCACAACAACACGTGTACTCACATGCGTTATGTTATTTGTATGCACTTAAAATTCACTGTACTGTTCGTTATTTCTCGTGAAATGCAACGCAATGCATTACCGTTTTCAATACGTACTTGAACGGGTTACTCTCTGTTGGAACCAGTGCCATGCCTAGGTTCTGCGAAGCCCTGGGCATCATTAGAATTCAAGGCCCTACAATATTATATCGAAATCTATAGGTACACCAGAATAGCGGTCCTCGATCCATATATCTATAATCTATTTATACATGGTATGTTGTATGTTGTATATATATAAATTATTGTATAAACACGAGGCTCTGGGCAAGTGCCCCGTTTGCCCTGCCCTCGGAACGACACTGGTTGGAACGATTGAATAAAACAGGCAAAATTGAAAAGTAAACAACATGTGTACAATAACGAGTTTAAGGGGTTTTGTGTAGTCAATTTGAGTTACACTATACGTCTTATGGCAATAATTGCACAGGTTTTCATTTGCAAAACTCAGAAGGTGCAGACAAGGACTACTGGTTTACATTCAACATTTAAAATAAACGTATGAGGTTCATAAAAGAACACAACAAAAAAAAAATTCTACTGTCTCAGTCTGAACTTCATGTTATTTCAACGAGGAAAAATCAATGTTATTGTTTTAAATGTAGTTTAATTTACAGTTCACAGAGAACTTGGTATAACAAATGAAGTTACCAAACTCAATACTTATCGATTATTGTTTAACTATTTCAATTGTATTTTGTGTAAAATATTAATTTTCTAGGCTTTTAATTTTCGAGTAATGAAAAAAATAAATAATAAATACAAATTTATAAAGTAATTTGCATATAATTCTGTGATCATTGAACGATAATAGTTCTTACTGAAAGCTCTTAAGTAAAAAAATATAAATACAATGTAATTAATTAAAACATGTATACACAATAAAATACTTTACAATATAAGAAATACTTATAACTACTTATTACTAATATGTATAATTGTATACACAGCACAGCGGTACAAAAATGATGAGCATTATATATTTAACGATTGAACATCAACCGTAAAAAGCTGATATGGCAGGATAACCATAAACAACATAGTTACGTTTTCGAACAAGAATATCATAAAAATGTATTTATTTAAAATACATTAAACACAAAATTTGTCGAAAATAATTATATGCGTTTTAAACATGGAATAAAAATATTAAATAATCAAAATTTAAATTTAGTACAGAAACAAGGTAAAAAAAAAAAAAAAAAAGTACCCCTAACATATTTATAATTTTAATTATAAAGAATTCATCTAAAATTATGATCAGGATACGGATATCGACCAGGATTATTTGATGAATTAGGAGGTCTTTGTAATTGATAATCATATCCAGGTGTCATAAAAGGAGGCGGAGGTGGTGGAGGATAAGGATAACTATGTCTTGGTGCATACATTGGATCATAATACCATGGATTATATGGTTGTAGTTGACGATAAGAATGGTTGTAGTCCATGGAACTCAATTGCTGAGCATATGTTGGAAAATTTCTAGGGCCTCGATTTAAGTTAGGAGGGTTGGGAGGACGAGGATTATATGGTTTTTGCGCCCAATTAGAGTTCTTCGTAGTTGAGCGTTGAGGAGTATTTTCAACTGCATTGCTACCCGAAGGTTTATTTTTGATATTTCGATTAGGAGGATTAGGTGGTTTATCTCCGTTTTCGGTAATATTTCCTTGGAGTTTGGCATTAAGTTTTTTCTGTTTACGGATTTTCTTAGCTTGCTGTTCTGCTTCATCATCGGAATAATCGAGATATTCACAGGGTGGTTCATTATTATGTCTCCAAGAAGCATCGCTTCCTTTCATTTTCATAAGTTGAGATACCATAACAAAATTAGCATATTCTGTCTGAGGAGCACAATATACTGGCTCTTTGATATTAATATCAAATTTTTTGATATGGTCAGAATTGTTGAAGCGGACTGCATAAAAAGGTTTATTAACAGGACCAAAAACATCAAATACTCTTCCCAATGCCCGCTGTCCACGATCCACAAATAATACTGAATCAATATCTAATGCCGGCTGGTTTAAAAATGCTTCAACAATAACTGAAACATAAATAATAACAATTATTTTTTCTATACATTTTTTTTTATAATTTTCAACATTAAAACCTTTCAGCATAAAAAATTAAAAATATCTATCTATACTTAATAAATAATAATAAATATTAAATCAATAAATTAATTTATGTGTCTATATAGCATTGTTTCAACTAAGTTACATACAGAATTATACAATATTTCAATATTTTTTAATAAAACTCAAGCCATTTGAAATATTGAACTATCCAAATCACTCAATTCAGAAAAATTATACATAAGAATCATTATCAATAATTCCTATTATTTAATAAATTAAGAATTAATATTTTATCTAATGAATATTTAATATATCACGTTAACTATAGGCAATTTTTAGTTATAATTAGTATATGAAATTTATCAATAAAACAAATTTATAGACTAGGAAGAACAAGATAAATAACTATAAATTACAATTATGAAATTCATTTTTATATAATATTTAACACATTTTTTTTTTTATTACAAGGTAAAAGAATTTAAAATATTTAAGAATTTTTCTCTAAAAAATTAATATTTATTACATTAGAGACATTGTAAGTCAAGAATAAAACAAAATAATTTATTATTAAAATAATAAGTTCTTAAAAATTGACACAACATAATTTACAAAATTTTAATTAATTTGATGTAAGACAGTAAAATAATTTCAGATTAATATTACACAATTTTCTCTTTTTCATAAATAAAGATAAGTAAATCTACTGAGCAGCCATGGAATATGGCTATATAGTACATACACCACCATTGATGACGCTACAGCTGATAAAATCTAACTGAAGATAGGTAGTTAGATATGATGTTAAATATTAAGGTTAAATATAGGTTACCAACAATTAATTTTTACCAAACTAACATAATATGTAAAATGTTTTAAATAAAATTACTATATAATTTGACTTTTGGTACTTTGTCCATTTTTCAAATATACATTTATCATAGATATATTTGTATAATATAGTAAATACATAAAATTAATTTATACTAATAATAATAATTTATTCAACTTGGGTAGAATACATAAATAATTGAACTGATTATTAATTGAAGTTTCAATTATAACTTACTATTAAAAACTAGAAAAAACCTTTTAAGTACAAGATAAACTAAAATACATAATATATACTTGCCTAAAGTGTCAACAATACTTTTTATGCAACCGATTGGTTGACATTTATCTTCATCAACTGATATTTTTAAATCTTCAATAGGCGGCAAATCAGAAATGTCTAGTTCTCCTTTAGTTCTTACATTTTCTTCTTTTACAAATGGAACGGAAATAATGCTACCTTCATTGTCAGAATTGGAAACACAACTATCTTCACTACTTGAATCTTCAGAACTATAAAAATGGAAAAATATGATAAAACATTTATACTTTAAAATAAAAAACATAAATAATATCTTATAAAAGAAATTTAATTCATTTTCAAAAGTGTTAAATTAATGTTTCAAATAAAAATTGTTGATGAATTATTAAACAAAATAAATAATTTTATTTCTTTAATAAATACTATAATTTTATTTATTAGTTTATTATTAATCATTAATATAAAATAAAAATAAATTGACAGTATTATGTATAAAGATAAATATGTGAATTAAAAGCTTCAATGATTACTTATACAAAAATATTTGGAATTATAGTCAACAAAATATATTATTACATTTTTAATTGTTAAGTTAACCTAAGTGATAATATAAATAAATATTTATAAAGCTTAAAAGTTTACATAGTTGATTAATTTGTTCCATAAAATTATTTATTTTTAATGAACAATAATTGTTATTGATAAACTTCATTATACTTACGTATATATTTAAAAGTATACTGAATTAAAGATATATTATTAATTTTTAATAACTAAAATGATTATTATTATTATTATTTTTTTTTTGTCAAAGTATTATATGAGCTATTTAACAAATATAAATCTTAGAAAAATTTGCAACTTAATATATATATGTATAATTTAATTTAAGATTAAAACATTGATTAAATTCATACCTTGAGTCTTGATAATTTGAAGAAATCAAAGAGAGAGTTGATGGTAAATTGCGTTTAGCTACAACTACTGAAGACCTTTAAACAAAAAAGCAAAAATTCAGTCAATATTTTATATTAATATATAAGATAGAATTAAAATTACTTAGAATCCAATTCGGTCTCTTGAACATTGTTTGTTTCAGATGATATAACTGATTTATTTGAAGAAATATCCTGCCTATAAAATATATCGATGAATTAAAAAACAAATTGCATGTCCAATGTATTTTCTTTAAATAAATACCTTGATTTTTCAAAACTTTCAGATATAACAGCAAATGAAGTTGGCGATTCTGAATCAATATTGGTAGATTTTGAGCTGCAAAAAAATTATAGTGAGTATTGCAATAATTTATTAACAAAACATGTGGTATTAAATACAATAAAAAAAGTTTATCAGTTAATAAAATCAACTAATTTATTGTGTACTAATAACAAGATTCTTTTAAATAAGAAAAAACATAGCATTTATTTAAAAATTGGTAAAATATTAGTTGAAAAATATAATATATGATGAAATAAAGATTTATTTACAGTGCTATTTACCAATGAAGCTTAACATTTCAACATCAATTAATATTTTTATCATATTGCAACACATCAAAAATTGTATTACAAAGAACATGTTCAATCTATCTGGGATAGTTATGTTCAGGAACCTGAGGAGATAATTATTAAGAACAATATACTTTTAACTCGGATTCAGCATGATAGACCGGTCAGTATAAATAAAAACTCTGCTCGTTATTCATAAGATAAAGTTTAATTTTCACATTAATTTATTATAGACATAGTCCTGAGCAGTGAAAATAAAACTTAACTGTATAATTAATAGTTTGATATTGGCTTACCCCAAAATATGACTTCCAAAACTACTTTTTTCGGTGCTTACCATTGGTTCATCTTTTTTTTCATTGAGATCTTCTTTTAATGCAATACTGTTCACATTATCTGGTTTTTTTGCATCATTGTCATTATTTTCTTCATGTCTAAAAATATATACAGATTATAAATTATTTTTGACTCATTTCCATAGTTATGGAAATAAATGATAAGTATAATTTTATAATTGATCATACATAAATTAGTACAATAAATTATTAAAATTCATCAACATTAAATGTAATGTTCATAGAGCACACTAAATAAAATAAAAAAATTTGTGTAGTAGTATAAAATAGTAAAACATAGCAAAGTAAAGATTATAATTTTTATTTGGCGGAGAATCAATATAACTACCCAAAACTTGCGTAAAATAATTCCATTTTAAATATATAAAATTAACAAAAATATTTATTTAATTGATTAAAACAAGAATAAACAATAAATCTCACCTATATTATTAATTAACAAAGATATTATCATAAAAACAATAGTAATATAAACAATTGAGAACCTAATTATTTTGTATGGTTATTTAATATTCTTTTATTATTTGTTTTATTATCATTACATTATCATCATTTTATAAGAATATTAAAAAAAAAAAAAAATTACTAGGGTATTAATTATATTTATATTCTTTAATATTCTTGTCTTAAAAAATTGAGATTATGATGAACTCAAAAGCTTAAAATTATAAAATTATTCTATTTATTTGTTTATCCAAAGGAAAAAATTCTGGAACTAAAAAATATAATAAAAATAAAATAATCATAATAGTATAGTGTCAGTTACAACATTGTATGAAAACTTAGTGATAAGATTACAGGATAGTTCTTTAACATGGCATAAGCACCTGATTATTAATAACTTAATAATATCTTAAATGCATTTTCATAAATGTATGTAAGTGAAATAAGTTGTTATAAAATAAATCTTTAAACAAATTATTTTTAAAAATTATTTCATACTTAAAATAAACTAAACATTTTATTTTATTTTTTATAAGTTCTACAATTGGTGTTTACGCTAAATAGTCAGGAAACCTTCATTATTGTTTTCAATAATATTTAAAAGTTTAAAAATATTTTAAATAACTTGAATAGTAAAATTTGTATTACAAATAATACCTACATTTCATAAATTGTTTACTAATAAAATAACATTTTCTAACAGAATAATCAAAATAAAAAGTTACCAAATAAATTACTTACATTATTTCCTTGTTATCTACTTCTTCCATAATAATATCATCACTGCATTCTGAATTTGAAGTACCAAAATCATCAGTAATACTTTCTTCATTGGCAATACCAAAAAGTCCACTAACAATAATGGTCCTATAGAAATAAATTAATGATATTTATTATGAGAGTAAAACAAAGGACTATTTTTCAAAAAGCATACTAAAAATCTTGTTTTTGTTTAATTTATTAATAACATATTATCATTATTTATCTTGCATTTAATATTAGAAAATATTATTTTGTTTAAAATATTCTTAATAGAAAAACATTGGACTCGATTACAATATTTATAATGAAATACAATTGAAAATTGTTCAAAAATAATAACATGTTTAGTGATATAAAAATGTCAATATTTAAATTGTTTTTTCAAATAATATTAGTAATTTATGAACGAAATTATGTTTTGCAATACGGGTTTGAAACACTTTACTTGGTAATGCAAGATTTGTATATTACAGTAAAATCCCAATGCTTAAACACTGTTGTGACATTCAGAAACGATTAATCGACTAATCAGACGCGTTTCTAAATATAAAGTAACGTTTACAGATTTACATTGGGGCAGGAAAATTGCATACAATGTACATCCACAGTTGATAGCCTGTGCGAATATTTAAGGTGTGATTCCTATAGTATGCGGCTTGGATATGAATTCCTATAACCACTCGACTACTGCGACAAATCATTTATAGCAATACTCTGTAAGCAACAAGACATATTTTACAAAAATTATCTGTTTCTTTTTCAAAATGTCTTTAAACAAAAAACAAAAGTTAACTTTAAATTTAATTCTTTGACAAGAAGTAGATAACAAACAAACAATTATTAATAGGTTAATGTTAAACAAATTCAACAAGGCACATGAGATGTTTTTAACCAGGAAGACAGGTGTTTTTAGTATTTCATTGAAAAACATTTATGGAGAGATGAGAGTAAATTTAGGGATTGATTTAGATTAGGCAGAGATCAATAAATGTACGTCTTAAATATAATAGAATACGATATTACAACTGGTCCAAGTATAAAATTTCCGGTGTCGATATCAGCAGCCGAAAAATTAGCAGTAACGTTAAGTAACAATATATATAATGTATATATGCATAAGCGTTTTGACACCTTTCGGAGCGGTCATAGGAATCGGTTCCATCTATCGACAAGTAAACTAGTGTGACGCGGCTGAAATTTGAATCGCGGCGCGTCCATAGGAATCGCACCTTTACAGTTGACTACAAACGATCGATAATGAATATCACGTCGCGCGCGTAACGATACATTTGTAAAGCGTTGCAACACCGTTACGGATCAAATAATACAATGCTATGCACTCACCCGGGATTGCCGTCGTCGGACGAGTCGCTGATTCGATCGTCGTCGTCGTCCATCGTCAAACTGCAGGTAGGTTTTCCGAATGTCCACACCGGTCGTAAATTGATGACGAACAGCGAACGGCGACACGGAAAGTGCGCGCGTACGAGTCGTTGACGAAACGTTCAACACGCGATGCAACACCGTCGGAAACTCGTGGTGGCTTATCACGATCGCGCGCACGTGAGACCGTGTGTGAGCGTCGAAAACGAAGCGTTCGTCTTATTTTTTCTAGGTTATGGCGAAACCGGAGGGAAAAAAGTAGACAAACCGACGAGAAATACGACGGGCGGTTTTGGACGGGCGCGCGCATATACGTGCCACAATACCTTGTAACCACCCTGTTACGTTTTCCAGTTGGCTGACGTGACAACGGAACAAAGAACCGGGATTTTCGTTCATCGCCATTTAGTCCATCGTCCATCGTTGAGAAGACCGAGCTCGGCGCCGCGAGTCAAGTTTGTACGAAAACTCGTCCGTTGGAACTTTGCGCGGCGAAAACGGCGTACAGTCTGCGAATGAAACATCAGCATCATTGACACCGGTAAGCAGAGTTATTCTTTCGCAAATTTATCGGTCGACAAACGCTCGTTTTAATCTTAAACAATATCAGTCCAGTCCGGAGATAGCGAACCTGTGTCGTACGTAACACGTGTACCCTTTTTTTTTTTATGTTCCTTCACTTGTAAGAGTTGTTGGATTAAAATTTGCATACCTTATTATAAAGCTAAATTTGAAATTTTCCTTTTTCCAAATATAATTACCGTCCGATGTGTTAAAATTTCAAGCTTGTTGAAACCGTGTTAATAATATTGACCCGTCATCGGTATCGGTGTTACCGTTTCGCTAATATTGAATTCAAATTAGGAACCATTCATTTAAATGAAAATATATTGTTTTGAAATTCCATATACCTCTTACCCAAATAGTATTTTACTCATATAACAATTAAAATAGGAAAACTTCTATTTTTGAATCTTATGAAGTGTTTATTTCCGCATTATCGATTTTGTTAGTGTTTTGGTCACATAATACTAATCGCATCTAAATGTTTTTCATTTTTTTTTCCCAATATGGATAATAATTGTGTAAATTGTCTGCATGGTTAAGTGAAGCTGAGAATGATCACATGATTCCAATGATAATGATGCCGATTCTAACTCTGATATTGAACTTTAGTATATACTGTAGACAGTATATATGTATAATATATATGTAAAGAATATACTATTCCTACTTGCCCAACATACAATACCAAGATAGAAAACTTGAAAATATCAAATGAAGAGTTATTATTTTAACATATTTTGTTATAAAACAGTGAATTGTTTAATTTTTATAATATATTTTGTATTCTATCAAAAAAAAAAAAAAATTGTATTTTATTATTTTTACAAGAAATTTGAATATAATTGCTATAAATATTTAAAATTTTTCAGGATATAATTAGAAAAACATTTTAATCTTTGTTTCACTATTCTAAGTTTTAGCGTAACACTAACATGATACTAATCACGATACAAAATATAGTGATAGCGATGACGGGTTAATAATCTACATCATTTGGGAAAGGCATACATTTTTTTTTATCATATTTAACAATCAACTTACCTACATTTTTTATAAATTTTATTTAATGCAGGCTAAGGAATTTTTACGATTAATGGGGCTTATCCTTACTAATATTTTTCTAACTTGTCAAAAATAATAAGTAAATCTTTTGCTTATCATCTTGTTTGCCCAAAATTTATGTACATTTTTAAATATTATGAATTATAACTTAACACATTCTATGACGATAACTATTGCTAAACGATACAATATACAATGATTTACCAATTTAAATATAATTGGTTTTATAATTTATCAGTTATCAATTCATTAAAGTGTTTTAATTATTTGATAATGATTCAATTAAAAGGTCAATTTAACCTTAATAACATGAGATTTGGTTAAAGTTTTTCTTTTTGATTCCAATTTATGGTCTATTATAAACTAGTGATCATATTAAAAATCACATTTAAAAACTTGCTGTATTATATATAATATATATTATATGTGTACCAAAATATTGTCTGCTTTACTATTTTTTTCTAATGTTTTTGCTTATTTTGATTTATATTGTCATATTAAGTTTTTTTTTACCTTTTAAGTTACAAATAATAACATGAAACTATTAAAAATATAGATATGTTTGAATTGTATTAAAAAAAAAACACTAAATAATTAAATAATAAAAAATAATTAATATTTTATTTTAATGACAAATATCTATTTGTATCAGCAAAGATAATCAAAATATCATCGCTTTTTACATTCAATATATCATTTTCAATATATAGTATTGAAAAATCGCTGAACCTTAGCCAAGTTTTTATGTTCTTCATTGCACTGAAACTTCTTTTGCAAGTAGCCAAACTAATTGGTATTGTTAATGCTATTGCAAATAGTTTTTATAATTTTTTATTTTATGATTTTCAAAAAAACCAACTGATAATTATAAAACAGCGAATAACATTACTAACAAAGTTTCGATTTTGGGGGGGCTTAGACCCCCAATGTTCACCTACGAGTAAAAGTGGTTATGAAAATGAATGTTGAAGGGAAAAGAGGAAAAGAAAGACCAAAAAAAGAGATGGTTGAATATGATTGAGATTGACATGAGATCTGTTGGTTGTATGTGTGCGTAGTACCGCAACTTAGTACATATTAGTGGGTGTATGACCAAATATATAGGGTCCATGTACAGAGGCACAACTATGGGAGGGGGTCAAAGCTCTCTTTCCAACTACGATTTAAACCCATCCAAAAAATATTTATTATTTATTTAGATATAACTTGCTTATAGTTTATTTTAAATTATTATAAACTGTATTTAACACCTCATAATTTCTGCTACAGTAAAATGTGTATACATTTTATTTTTTATTGCTGGAATAACTCATTCTATTATTCCAGCTAATAAAATTTTTATTTTTTTTTTATTTATTTAATAAATTTAAAACCTTTTTTTTTTTTTAGAATGTAATTGCATATCTATTAAGTCTGCTTGCCAAAGATCATCCTTAAATCATGTTATTAATGATTTTTCTTGCAGACTGATGCAGTTCATTTGCTATATTTTCTAATGCAGTCATTATTTTTTTTTAAATAATAATAATAATAATAATAATGCATGTTTTATTTTAGGCTAATTAATAAGTATCGATTTCTCTGATAGTATCTAACAAAAGAAAAAAAGAACTGAAATTAAGCAAATAAATGAAAAATGAAAATGTAAACATTTATATTTTAAGAATATTCTTTAAATAAAAAAAAAAAAAAAAATTGGTAATTATTAATAATTTTTTTATTTGTTTTATATATACATAGCACTTAACATATAAGGATAAATTAAATGTGGTAAGCACATCAATTAAAGAAGATGATAAAATATATACATTCAAATGTCAGACTTGACCAGGAGAGGACTACTGGGTAATACAATATTACAAAACTAGTAATATTGTAAATGTTGCTCATCAAGACAAGTAATATATTAATAATAATCATAAATAATCATTTGTGTTTATGTAATAAATAATGTATTTATATATTTTCATTTATATTTTTTTAATCTTAAATGGAAGCAGGCTGACTGTTAAATTAAATCAATAACATCTAATTTCCATGGAAATAAAGATGTTTATATTAATTGGACATAACTTTCAACTTAAGCAACTTCAGGAAGAAAGAACCAGAGTCCAGTCAACAACAACAGTTTCAACTAATTAATTAATCAAAGATGTCATGTGAATCTTCCAACGTCGCCTCGTAAGCATAGAAATAATTTAGATAATTTAGAAATAATTATTGTACGTATAAGTGGGTTCTTATTTAGAGTAGAATTGGAAATAAATAATTGGGTCAAGAGGTGCTCACACCATTGTTGGGGCAACTCGCAGAATATGAACTATTCTGGGGGGAAGTAACTCTGTCTATAACATATTTAAATAGGTATCTGTTCATTAACCATAGGAGACCTGACTTAGTATGTTGTAACAGAAACACAGATAGAACCCAGATAAACGGATTAAAATCAGAAATTTAAATTTGATGGTAAATAGTAATGATATTAATTTTAGTTTAAAATTAATAGCTATGGATGAAGAATAACAATTATATAATATGTATATAGGTAAAATAAATAAAAATGGTGGAATGCTAAACTTATTGGAGACTCATAATCTGATATAAAATATAAAGCATGAGATAACCCACTGTCACAACTCAGTAACGAATGTCGTACTGACAAAATGTATCTTTAATTTTATAGTAAGGAAAATGGGGCCAATAAAATTATATTAAGAATATAATAGGATTATAAAAATAAAAAGGATAAATTGATTAAGAAAACCAATATTAAGCTAATAACAATTAATAATAAGTAATAATACATTTGCACATGTAATTATTCACCTAGTAGTTTGAAATTAGAATATAGTCATTATTACTGAGGAAAAGAAAAAAGAAAACCAATAAAAGTAGCAACAATAATATACCATCAACACCTTCCATCAGTGGCGTACCCAGGATTTTCAAATGAGGGGGCTAAATAAAGTAAATCAAAATTTTACGTCTTAACAAACTAGTTTCAATAAAGTCTTATAGCAGTTAATTGTAATATTTTATTATTATATACTTTTAAAACATACATAATATATTAGAGATATATATATAAATAGTAGGGTGGAGTCGCCACCTATGGCCACCTTAAAAATTTTTTTCTATTGATATTTAATTTTTTCTATCTATGGTCATTGAAAAGATTTGAAAATTTAACCATACATACTTCATAAGTTCACTAATACTTGGTTTGATTTTCAAAGTTTTAAAAATATTTTTGAATTAGAAATTTGTATGAATATTTTTAAATTGCATTTTCCCCTTCTATGGCCACCGTAAAAATATTTTTTATTTTATTTAACCATGAATTATTAATACTTATATAACTGTGATAAATAATATAAGTTAATTAATGAAATTATTTCATGTAAACAAATATGACAAGAACTTTAATTTTCCAAAAAACAAACTATAAATATAAAAAAATTAGGTAGTTACCTATGAAAATAAAAACAAATAAATATAAAAAATTCTGATCTGGTTATAAATATACAAATAACATAAA